AACAGAAATTTTAGGACTAAATAAAAGTAATAGCCTTTCAGCAACAACGACAATATTTGATCATTGAAATTTCAAAGCAATTGGTCCAGGAGTTGAAAAGAAAAGCGAATTTTTCGCAGAAAAAAGAACACACAAAGCCCAAGGGCCATTTTAATAGGTCATCGAATGAAACACTAAAATGAATATCTATGGTATAACATGATTTTGATATTGAAAAGCTGCAGATGAAAGTAACAATGTCATTAATTTCAGCCGCATAGGAAAATCGGTCCATATATGTTTTAATTTTTATTACATGTACATGTACATTTATTGTGTACATGTAATGTAGTGGTTTTGCTGTGTTATGCAATGCCAATAAACCTAGAAAAAATCACGGCATCGTTATAAAATAACTGAACTCAGTACATAAAGACACATTCAGGCACTTCATTTCTATATTTACTAATGGGAGTGTCATCGCAGAAGTGTGTTCAATATAAATGGACTAATGTTTGTAACTAAAGTTTATAAAAAGTCTTTATTTATTATCCAAAAATGAGGATGGTTCCGTATTGTCATGGATTGTTTTTAATCCTTCTTCAATTAAAACCATGGGTGTGAGGTATTCATTGGTAGCACGCGCACAATTAATTACATAAAATATGTTTAATAAATATTCTAGACTTGTTTAAATTCACAATGGTGAAAATAATAACCATTTTATTTGTACGAGTCTAATTACTTTGGGCGTTGTCGAAGGGCCCAGCCTAAGTATTTAAAACCACGGTAGAAACAAATGATTAGGTCGGTGAAGTCGTTTTTCAATTCATGAAATTGCGCAGAAACGAAAACTGTAGTTATAAATATGTTGCCTTTTAGCAGGCACAGTAGTACAGCTACTCTAACTTTAACCTAAAATTAACTACTATCATATAAGAGACACAAAAGTAAAAGTTTATATAAATCCTTAGACACCTAAACGTATTGCAGTGAATTTCAAAGTATACTGTTCCAATATAGTTAATTGTCCTTTCATAAGAAACGGTGTTTTATACTCGCAATGGAACCTCATACACGTGAGCGCAATACGAGAAACAGATTCCGGATATCCCCCGTCAATAGAAATTCACTTATTGGAATCGGGGTAAGATTATTTTTTTTTATTTGGCTTAGAGTAATGGTACGTTTAAACAATGAAAAAGATTATCGTGTCGATGTGCTTGCTGAATATTCATAGTAACATTGTCGACTGTTATTTCCACTCTAAATACGTTTTACCTTATGAATCACTGACGGAATAGTGGAATAATATAATATTCTATTTGTGTAGGTGCCTATATACATCGATTTTTTTTGAGCTTTTCTAAATTTGTTTGCTAGGCCACACAAGTGTTCCTTGGTTTTTTGTCTGTTGGAATTTGCATTGCATCAATTGTATTTGCCATAAATGAATATAACGAATGCTATGCGTATCTCACTGATGATGACACGTCAGATTTTCAGAATGGGTGTGATGCAACCAGATTTTCTTTGACTTCGCAAGGAATATGGGCTGGATGCTTTGTAAGTATTCAAAAGGCGACGGACGTACCGGAATGAGACGAACTTTTTCAAAATTTTGCAATTTATCTTCTGAATACATCATCGAATATGTGTTATTTTTTTAAATAAATATTCCCATTCGCAACACATTTAATGTAACATGGAAATTATAGTGATAATATGGCAGGTGAACACGTGGTAGAAAAGCAAACCATTGCTTTCCAGTAAGTAGTGCCAGGACCATACTGAATTTTTGTATTGAAGTTCTGGCTAACCATTTTAGCAAAAACTTGGTAGAGTAGAAGCGTCTCGGTAGGTTTTAATACTTAATAAGCGAATCAGAATTATGATAATCAGATATTAGAATTTTTAAAAATTTTCAAATTTATTTGATAGTTCACATTACTTTACAACAACGACATGATTTTTGACTTCCTTATTGATTTTCTCCCAGCAATACTATTACAATTGAAATCTATGATTATAAATGTTATTATTTAAATTATTATTGTTATTATTTCAGGTCATCATTGCAGGATGCCTCAATATAGACTTTGGCGCAAACCCATCAAACAAACTGGTGAAAAGAATGATAATTTTTTTATTTTATAAAGTTTTTCTTTCATATTGTCTCTAATATATAAAAAAAAACAGTCGATGCGATGAAACTGAGTCTCAGAACTCGTTAATTAATATTGTCGACCTACTTTTGTCTCGTATTCGAACAATTAAATTCTCTATCAATGCATACTATTTTAAGAAGAATTGTTTTTTATTTTAAATTCTAGGCAACGTACAGTATTGGATTCTCTACTTTGGCTACGTTTTTGAGTATATTGATGATACTTCTAGAGATATGTGCGGTGTGGTATGACTCAACATATGATTATACCTATTCTGTAAGTGAATAGGAATTCTCATTTTACGAAATAAGAGAGTATAATGAACAACCAGAAATCGTAAAATTGATTTTACGTTGAACTTTTATACTAAATAGCCTGGTTTCAATTATTTGCATTCCATTTTAGCAAGAAACCCTTCTCCACATATGAACTGAGTACCTTTATTAACTGCCCTATACGTTTTTATTCGTCGATAAAAAAAAATCAACTATCCATATGAGTCGTTGAGGCCTAGTGTTGTTTGCCGAAACTGCCAAGCGACATAATTTCGGAATATAGTTTTGCCGTATAATCGTCCCTTTTTTGGATGATTAATATGTAAAAAAATTTATTATATATCAGTTTAACAAAATATAAAATTTAAGGTCGAAATATATTATCTCCACATTGCTCTTCTATCCACCGGTTGTCTTCAACTTGTTTTTACTTTCACTACATCGATTCTATCTTGTGCGTTACGTGGTTGCAGGGATTGTTGTGGAAGCGAACAAGTAAGAAGCTAAATTTCTAGTTTAGTTCACGAGACACTGATAAGCGGTGTTTTTAAAGGGACATGACTCAGTGATACGACCAGAACCTAAATTACATTTTTCCAAACTGGATGTCACTCGTGTCATCTCTTCGAATAACTACTCAAACTCGTATAACCGACAAAAAAACTTGAAAGAACACTACAAGATTGTTGCAGCTATAACTCAAATTAGGCCGAGCAGACGCCGACCGTTTAATGTTGCCAACATATTATTGAATCCAAGCTTGACTTTCAGAGTAGCTTTGGTCAGAGCGAGATGGAAGTCCTATTGTCATTTCACTCATATTTATCCATTTCATTGTTTTGAAAATTTTTGAAAAATTCTCTGGGAATCGGATTTGACCTGAGACTCGAGTGACTGTCGGGGTTTAGAGACTTTGACCCACTCGTGATAGGCTTGTATTTGGCTGTTATTGATTTTACACCCGTTATTACTTTTTTGCATTTTTTTTTCTATCTATACTTTTTATAACGAATAAATTTGATAACTTCTACAATGACGTACGCTTATCTAAATAGCATTCAGGTATTATGAAAAAAATGTATAAAATGTGATTCCGTAGGCTGTAAAATGTTATTCATCATGTCCACCCAGCAGGTCGCGGTCGCTCCAGTACCGATGAAAGAATTTTCACAACATTCACCTCACCAAGGACATTTTATGAATCAAACTGACCGCCCAGGATCATCTTTACAACCAGAATCAACTAACACGTTTGGTAAATATTCATTCATACTTCATTTATACTCTAACATTTATCATGGCATTATGACGTCATCGAATAAAGCGTAAATCGACAGATTTATTAAATATTTATTTACTCAACGTCACAAATAGTCAACCAACAGTAAATATGATTTAATGTAAACCACTCTAATTCTTTTGCAGATGTGTGATATTTAAATTACATAATTTGCGTTCTAACAAGGATTGAAAAGTAGTCATATAATCTTTACTGGGTACCTTCTAATACCATTTATTTATGTTCCTCTTATTGTGCAACTGTTCTGTTGATTGATCACCTTCTTTTCAGCTTACACTAACGAACTTGTTGTGGCAATTGATGATATAAAAACACATCAAAATGGAGGATCTGATACAGTGAAGCAATCGGATATAGAAACCATTTCCATCCCGAGTAAAGATAACCTGACTGTCCGTAAGTACTCGAAAAACAATAAGGGTAAGCTAGAGTAGTAGGTAACCGAATCTCTATAAAAGTTTAGTATTAGACGCCACGGGTTTATTTTATCCCCTCTATTTTCTCACACAGAAAGAGAGGAAACTGTACTCGGAAAGAATGACAACATAATAGCTATTAGTGAAAGCGCCGCTCCAAATACCTTGCATCGTCCAGGAAGTGTCGACGATGAGCCATCTACTTCTCGGACTAACCATGTTTGTAAGTTTTTATTGGAAAATTGGAAACTGGTATTCAATTAAACCTATGCGACATTTTACGTGAGCCACATATGAATAAGAATTGATCAAAACAAATGTCACTGAAGCTGATATACGGTAATGTGTATTAGTTCTGGTTGCTGTGATACGCATAGAGTATACGTTATACATGAGAACTTATGCGCGTAAAACATACTTTAATTACATACAGTACATTTTCTTTTTATGAGCATGGTCCATATCAAAATGGATTCTTCATGTTTGCAATTGCTTCGCGAGATGAGTAACGGTAATGAAAGTGATCCTACATTGACTGGGCCCAATGAGAAATATTTACACGAAGGTTAAGTACCTTACTGACTGCTGAAGACTCCGGCCTATATGTAGAGAGTGAGCCATGTTTTTACGCTGTCCAATATCAGAACAATCACTAAAGTATTTTTAAGCAGATGTAACAGAAGGCGGCGCCGCAGAAGAAAGCAACAATATTCAACACGACTTAGACTCCCTTTCTCCCGTTGACGAATACACAGAATTCGAAATGACTCAAAATGTCCATATCGGTAACTAAATAAAATGTGTTAAAATTCTTTTAGTTTACCAAATAGCAAAAATTAAATTTTTGTTTTTTTGTTTCAGGCCCATCGAGTGATGACAGGAGAAAGAATGGAGATCTTGACGAAGTAAATGTAAAAGGTACTGTTCAAAATCTGGACATATTTTTATATGTAATAATTGACGATCCTGCAAGCGTCGATATTATCCCATTTTAATGATATCTATTGCTTTTAGATCAGATTACTGAAGAAAAGCAGCGCAGCGAGAGTCCTCCACTTGCTTGGGTCGAAATTGCGGATGAGGGTGCAAATATTTCACAACAAAACGTAACACTCGATGATGCCGCAAGCACGGTTAAAGACACCAGCACGCCTGACAACGAAACAAAGACGGTACATGCATCAGACTATCACGATAACGGTAAAGATACACTATAATCCCATTAGCATTTCACATCAATCCCATTTCATAGAAATATATATACTTACGAGTGTTGATTATCTTGATAAAAACTTATTTGAATGTGGGTTTTGAGTTTGAACATATCAATTTTAGATGGGAGTTGCAAAATGGTTTCATCGTTCTAATACCGATTTGTCGGATGTTATTGAAATGTGCGAATGCAACACGCACACTTGCAGCCCATAAGCATCGAATAGATTTGAGCTGAACAGGCACAGATATATCAATGTACATAGCTATCAACGAAAATAGAATAGGCCAACGGGTCATTTTTTCAAATTGTGAGTGACACTTAGAATTTGAATCTTTGTGCAATTCACAGAAATTGAAGATCTCGACGATTCAGGGGAACTTGAAAAATCCTTGACAACATTGCAGTACTAATCTTCTTCATAATCCACTACACATCACTCATCAGTATTATCTGGCATTCATGTTCATGAAAAATATTTCAGTATATATATTAGTAATTGTACTTTGTAATAAACCGAAATATCTTTAAGCTTTTGTGAAATTTTTGTTTCAAATAAACTTGTAATGAAGAACAAGCGAGAAATTCTCAAATATATGCACGAAAGTCCAGTAACTAACCGCTGTACCGGCAGTCTATTGGGACTTGCGTGAGCCCATATGATTTTTGCCTTTTGGTCACCACTTCTATTTTTGAGCTAAAATTTGATTGTTATATTAGTTGAAGAAAAAACGACAATATTAACCAAACTATCCATACTTCGTGTTCAATGATAATGAACAACAATTTATTCTATTTAGTTTCCTGTATATTTATGCAGAAAATGATGTTCACTAAAGCGCCGACCAGGTAAATTTGATGTTTGGTATCTGAAGAATCCTCATCGGGTATCATCTAGAACAGTGGTACTCAAAGGATGGGGCGTGCCCCATATAGGGGGGGGGGTAGACAATTTTTTAAGAGGGCGTGAAGCTAATTGAAAATAAAAATGTTTGTTCGATTTGGTCTTGCCTGCCTTATTTTGGATATTTACATTTCTTTATTTTGGATTTTTATGTGTTTTTTTAATAAAACAAATGACAAATTCTAAAAAGGGGGCGCGGGGGTTCAAAAGGTTAAGAACCACTGATCTAGAAGAAGGATATTAGCATAAGTTTTACAGAAGTAATTCTTAACCTTCTCCGCCAACAACCCATTCGGGAAGTCAGATTAACACGCGACTCATTTATAACACTTGCCACTCTAATCTCGATCGATACGACCCGACAATCTTGTGTCGTCCTACTTATTGGAAAGTTTGAAACATTAGAAGAATAAAATACTCTAAAGTTATATAAATGTGGATGCGTTCGAGATATTATTTTTAACATTAAATTTTTTTGATAGATATTTTTTAAACTGTGTGCAGATTTCAGAAACGAAATCAGAATATCAGAATAATTTCGATTTATTCGTGTTTATTGTTTATATTTCCGCAAATATGAATTTGATTTTCTTTTATTTGTTTTAAACTAATCATATTCATAAATCAAGATTGTTAAAATATCTGGAGTAAGTATGTATTGAAATATTTGAGAAGGTTTTCAAATGGTAATGACTAGAAATGACATTCAACATTCAGGTTCTCTTGTGTATCGAACTCACGAACAACCTTTTTTCTCATTTCAGAAAATAAGGCCGAACCTTTAGCTATAAAAATAAAATCGGATTAAGTGATCATCACGACTTTTAAAGAATTCAAGTTTGCACAAACCCATGTGAACCTCCTGAAACTCACCACTATTCGAGTTCCTCCGGAATTGGGTCGTAGTCAATTCATGGCAGCAACGCCCCATGCTATTTGCGCGTGTTATACTTTGCATATTAATCGAGAATTGTCTGTCCACTTATGAGGTAGATTTGAAGTGCTGGTATATGATATTCAATAACTCAACATCAAACTCTAATTAGTCAAAATAAAGTTGGTTGTGTGCTATTTGAAGTGCTTTCATCTTGATGTTTTTCAAATGTAGAAATGTTTGACGCGTGTCCTCGCTCACACTTAACATTATTTCATAATTTAACCGCTGTCGTGATGAATTGACTCGTTGAGCAAATGCCGTGAGAGAGATAGAAATGTAATGAAAATGTCTGTTTGTTGGATATAACAATGGGAGGTTGAAGAAATTTAAGATGAAGTTTAGCGTATCTTTAAAGATCTTGATCATATTTGGTAAGTTTATAAGAACAGATAATAATGAATAATACTTTATAACAGAAGCTATTTTGTAAGATACAAATTATATACTACAAATAAGAAGGAAAGACATTGTGCTTCAACAATATTATGGCGTTGAATTTTATATTATAAACATTTATTTTATTGGCAGGCCACATTGCAACAACGCAAAGACCACCCGGTCGACCACCGGGTCAGGGTCGACCACCACCCGGACAGGGACCGCCTCCCGGACAGGGACCGCCTCCCGGTTACCCGGGTGGGCCTCCGCAGCAGCCTCCTCCACAGCAGCCCCCTCCTCAGCAACCGCCACCCCCTGCAGATAATAAAGATAAGCCAGACTGCAAGCATGAGGTTTATGTGCCCCAAGGTGGATTTGAATCTCCTGGGTATCCTCGAGGTTATCCGAATAATGCAGATTGTATGTATCGCATATTTACGGACAAGATTGTTAATGTAAGTTGGTTATCATGTTGTTTTTGTTGAATTAAATATTCAGTGTGCGCCGTTTGTTCTGATTTGTAGTTTTACAATTATTTTTATTTCATCCGTATACGTTAATAAGGAGATAAAAATAAGCCATAAATTGCACGAGAACTTAATTAATTCAACATGAAGAAATTGTGTTCAATATTGCAAATTTGACCCATTCAGTAGCAATTAATAGGAAGTCAGTTTTACAATAAACAATAAATTTTTCACATTACACGTTAGAGTATCATTATGTACAATTTATAAGTATGTACCGTAATTTTGATAATGTTTCAATGGTGAAAACAAAAAGCGATGCTGAACTGGTTCATTGAAAAACTTCATGCACTAACTCAGAGGTGACGAACCTATTTGCTATCAAGAGCCATTTTATCAGTCACCGGCTGAGTAAGCAGGTCGCACCACTTTTCAGTCATACTATGATATATACCTGTTAATTTTCATCAACAGAAACGAACAACAAACTGAAACCAATGCATCTATACGGCTGAAGTTATTTAATGATATATTGCCTTAAATTTGGTTTAAAAACTCTCAACCGCATACTTAGATTTGTGTCTGTCAGTCTTGACCTGTATTGATTAAGTTCGGTTTCGGGCAAGTTCGGGTGGCGTCATCTTACAACGCGCGCTCCGCTCGGCTCGGGTGTTCGAGATCCCAATTTCCGTTCGAATACCGCAGCATTTTTGACTCGAATTTTTTGGTCGACTTTGGTATCATTGTGCAATCAATTTTAATTGTACTAAAATAAATTGTAGTTTTTGATATTCTATCGCAGATCTAGGGATTTTTCCAACGTTGATGTTTTTGAAATAATCTTGAGTGGTAGCATTGTGATAGGGTGATAGTGTTGCAAGAACATATCACATTTGTATAATTCGTAGCATCGCAAAAATAAGGATCAAAACAAGATATAATCGGGCAGTTTACCACACATTTTTATGGCGTTGGATTGCCTTGATATTACATAGTAATGTTCTCATTTTGTCGAGGCAACCGCAGGTTACATCAAACACACAATTAAATTAATGAAGCAAGGCATTATAAATAGACTCGTATTGGTCGTGCGCAATACTTTGCGCAACTAAAAAATCATTCAAGGTATAAAGTATGTCCAATTAATTATTAATTGTACCGAAATAAATTTTAAAGTCTGAGATTTTATCGTTGATATTGTGGTCTTTCTCACAGCGATATTTTAAAAATCAATTTTTCACAACAGGGAGATATCATGAGCACAATCAAATTGATATGAAAAGTCACTTAAAATGAACGTATCGACCGTGGATTGAATACTCTGCATAACAGAAAAATTCCTGCCCTCGAAAAAATGGTCTTTTTTACAAATGGTGGCCTGCATCATTGTGGCGATTTTTACATGGAAATTTCCGGATTCCGATTTTCAAATCATTCCTAACCCGAACTCTAACCCCAACTGGATAATTGCTAATTTGTTATTTTAACACGTAGCGGAATTTTTTTTCTCAAATTTCACATTTTCCTTAGTGGCGGGGGCTTTGTACAAAAGATCTGCATTTCGCAAGCCTTCGGATATGGATATTATGAAGGACAAATAAGATGTATTGGAATTAGCGTTGCCAGTAATATAAATACTGGCGCTCCCGTTTTTCTCTGCACAGTCTTTGAAGGTTTATGACTTCACGCCAAACATACACCGAATCGCCTGAATGCTTCGCGGGCCCAACGAAATTTTGTAGTAGACCGCATGTTCGTCACCTCTGCACTAACCCATAATTTTGCTATGATTTAGTTAGAAGTTCGAAGCTCACTTCAATATGTCTTTATCCACATTATAGCCCAGTATATAACACCAAACCCAATTTACATTACAGGCCCCATGCAAGTCCTCGTTTTTTCTTTCTTGACAATAACTATTTATTTATTCAAGAATTACAAAACTATCGAAAGGTATATACAACTTTATGTACAAATTGCACTCCAAAATATTCGCTGCCAATTTCTACTCTTTCAATATTGTTTCAAATGTATGTGCACTTGCGTTTGTCAGGTTTCTTTTGAATCATTTGAATTGGAAGATAGCGATGGATGCCAATATGATTATCTGCAGGTTATTTTTGAAGCTACCACAGACGACGCGGCACCAGAAAAGTGCGTTGGCACGTCCTTTTAGGAAGGCCATGAATTGGTTTTAATAGTCTTCGAGCAATGGAAAACTTCTATATTGTACAATATCGTTCAATATGGAAGTACTATCAATTGTCAAACTCACTATAACACTTTGTTGAATATTTTTTGGACGATGAATGATGGAAAGTATGTTTAACATAAAATAGATCGTGGCCTTGAGTTTAAATTTATGGTGAAACTTTTCTATTACTGTTTCAATCGTTTCAAAATCAAATTTACAGATCATTTCATGGCAAGTTTTGAAAGATATTTTATATAAACATAAAAATTCATATAAACATAAAGACATCATTCCTCGTCTGAAAATATTGTTCTATAGCAAGATGTCATAACATATATATAAACCTAGAAATTACTCATTTACTAAACAGGTATATTTTGAGGCTTTCGATGTACAAGAAACCGAAAATTGTCAACGTGACGTTTTGCAAGTCATTTTCAATGCACTTGCACCGGGTGCCAAGCCAGACAGGTATCATACGCAGCCGCAATTTGCACTGCTTCCCCAAATTTAAGCTTCCATTTCGCGACTGAAATAAGTCGTCTGCTGCTTTGCTGGACACGCCTCTGTCCAATTACTATTGATTTTTTGTGCAGACCCGTGCATGTGCTATTGACGGTACAATCAATGGCCCATCTCCGGAGAAGTAACTTTGCGGTCGGCGCAATGCGCTGTTGTAACTTTCATTTTGCTTTCAAAAACGCGAAATTCATTCCGTATTACGAGTCTAAATTTAGCAAGAAATATAATTTGGAAATATATATAAGTCCTTGACACCGGTACTTCTATGCACAGGACGTCGAAGAACGGAAATAAACGCTATTATACCTTCCAAACGGCGCTCCGGAAGTATTTGTACCAAGATGATGCACAACCTGAACAACCCTAACCTGGTACATAAAAATGTTCAGGTTGTACGCCATCTTGGTACAAATACTTCGGGAGCACCTTCCAAACGGTATTTAAATAATCGAGGTATTTTTATTCCCTAGAATTCAATCTTTTTGAATTGTGACAGAGCAATTTTCGGGGTATTCACTTTGTTAATGTGTATTTTCATTAGTTTAGCAATACGTTAATTCAAAGCTCTGTAACGGAATGAATTTCTCTGCTTTTATAGTCAATGTATGCTTAACTCCTGTTTGCTTGCTTGCCGTTTTGCTTCGTAGTATGCATTGCAAATAAATTTGAAGAAATTTATCCCGTTACAGGGCGATTAATTGTGTGTTATTTGCATGAAAATGTAGACCATTAGATTTTGTGAGCAAATTAGCAGTTAGGCCTATCAAATTCAAATATGATGCCAGCTTTTACAACATGGTTTTTATTTCTTCCAATTTGAAATCTGAAAATAATCTTTCTGTAAATTTTGTTGTTAAAAAAAATTTAAACAATTATAAGTTAATCTCTGTGAGTGTGTATTAACAAACTCTTGTACTTTTGTAAAATAAGCATGTACGTATCAGTGATACAGTATTGAACCACTAATATTAGGCAAAATGTACGGTATATGGCGATTGTTTTCTTATGCAAAAAATTGTTTAATTTGTTATCTTTAATAATTTTTGCGTTGTTTCTACTATGCCAATTTATTGATCTAGTCAAATCGTTTTTTTTCTTCTCGCTCCAGAATGGCAAGCTTCTTATCTTTGCTCATAGATAAATCAAGAATCATTAAGATATGTTAAATGAATGTATGTAAAATGAGCTACCTAACTGTTTGGGAGCACTTGTTCATAAAATTTGTAATATTCAAGCAATGTTGTAACTTGCCTAGAAAAGTGATTAGCGAATGGCCTTTATTTTGTGACTTGCAGGTACTGTGGATCCGGTTTGGGTAAAATCAAAGGTGGAAATCTACGTGGAAAGGGACCATTAGTAATGGCATTCCGCAGCGATGATTCAGAATTCAAAGCTGGATACAAGTTCAAGTTTGAATGTACGTTGTATAGTAATTGCGTCATATTAATATTTCAAGCCTCAATAAAGAAAAAAATTGAAAATTATATTTACTATCACAGTTGAACTTGATGGTCCTGATCCGTGCAACTCGAACCCATGTCAACATGGAGGAAGCTGTGAACGACTAGTTGGTTATTATAAGTGTCATTGTGTTGATGGATATGTTGGAGTAAACTGTCAAGAAAGTTTGTATTCCTTTTCTTTAGTATACTAAGTGACGAACGTACTGTTGCCGCTCTGCTTAAAAAAGTTAAAAATTATTTGTGTTTGTCCCCCTTAGTACATAAAATCAATCTTACGTTGAAAATATTTGAAGTTAGTTAGAAATTATGTAAAGAGTATTTGGCTGTGAATAAACTGTGACGTTGTCATAGGCCTACTTGTTCTTTTTGTTATCTGTGAAATTCGGAAATTTCGGTCTTTTAAGCGATTGTCTATCAAACTGCTTCTTGACATTTTATGGAATAGGTAAAATTCATTCAGCCACAATTACATGTATGTAATAATAACTTATTTTGTTGCTTTTTACACGATTTTAAACAAAAAATTATGTTTAGATAAAGACGACTGTGCATCATACCCATGCCAAAATGGCGGTGAATGTAAAGATGGTTTGAACAAATATACATGCGAATGCATCAAAGGTTTTACTGGAGATTTATGTGAAATAAGTGAGTGCGACTACAATATAAAGTAACCAAAATAACAAATTACAAGTTGTTCAAATTGGAACACTATAAATTTGAAGTAAACAAGCGCAAATGAGTTTTCAGTGCGTGAATTGCTGCAATTTGCAGTTTTCATGATATATACATCTCATAACCAAGTTTCCTAATCGAGGAGAAGTTATTCTTCAAGGTGAAATTTTGTCGTTCTTGGAAAGAAATTTTATGTACAATATTTACAGTGTTACAGAAGCAAAAATGGAAAACAATAATCCTCGTGCTAAAACTGAAAATTTATCGCAATCTCAATAAATTCCTTGAGCTTTTCTAGCTAAAACGTCAAAATTTGATTTTAGTTTGGTTGTGGCAGCATCAGGCGGGCCAGATTGAGTTACTCAATGGGCCGTAGTTTGCTCATGTCAGTTCTAGATAATGATTCATTAATAAATAAAAAAGGATTGAATAAATGTTTTTTATGAACAGTGATGAGTTTATAAAAATTTTGGTGCTCCTGAAGTATGCGCACCAAGATGTTGCATAACCTGAACCGTAACCTGATACACAACCTGAGTTCCGGTTGTGCGCCATCTTGGTGCGCATACTTCAAGAGGTCCAAAATTTTAATTAGGCTGGAGAAGAGTTGGGAACTACTTTTTTTCCTACATAGTTGCATGCGTAACCAGTATTGGAGAAAGTAAGTCAGGACAAGCACAGTACGTAATGCAGTATTATTTTATTGTCCTTGAACTTTGACTCTTCCAGATCCCGATCGTTGTGCCTCAAACCCGTGTCAAAATGGTGGGATATGCGTCAACCGTACTCCGGATTTTGTTTGCTCTTGTCCAAGAACTTTCATGGGAGACACCTGCGAGCATGAAGGTAGGGTATATATGTGGGTGTACGTAAAATATAACTGTTTCGACTGTGATCAGAATATCCACAAAACACAATGAGTGTATGTATGCTTCTAAGACCTGCTCTTTAAAAAATTAACAGAAAAATATTTAAATTTAATTTGGGTAATTTTTGGCTATAACGTCACTTTACATTTATTTGATTTTCTTTCAAGTTTCCATCACAAAACCTAATTGTAAATCGCTTTCATTTGTGACAAAGTAAATATCAAAAGTGGACAGTTCCTTTAAATATATTCTAAAAAGGTTATCTTTTTTTTTTATTTCAGTTCCAACGGTACCTCCTCCTCCAACAACAACAACAACGTCGCCTGAGGTCGAAACAAAACCACAGGGTATTTATTGAAAACATGTTTTCAATTCTCCAATCACCAAGTATTTTAAGTATGTATAAAAATGATTAATTGACGCAAATATCGATTTTTTTTTATTCAGAAGATGATGAGATAACCACCGCAACACCAGCTGCACCGGATACAGAAGGAGGTCGGTATTGGCTGTTAAAATTATTTCAAGTGTCCTCGATATAATTTGTCAAGCATCATTGTCCTAAATATTATCTTTGATTTGAGTTTCAATTCAGAAATAACAACGCAATATTTAATACCATTCGTAACAAAACGGCATCGCTTGACTCGATTTTAACATTTATATATATATATACTTCCTGTCATTTTATAAATGCCCTATGCATGTTGTTCATCTGCAACGTGTCGCAACAAATTAATTTGGCCATGCTTCAGATCTACCAACAAATATTCTAAAACACAATGTAAAAGTGAGAACATAGATATATCATAATAAGCATCACTCCTGATATTTCATGTCAAGCCTTGGGACAGTAAAGATTTATTCTCAATATATATATGTCACTGAATTGTTTCGGGTTTGTTGAGCATAATTCAAATTGATTGGAGGAATCGTCAATTTTTGTTTTTGTCTCAAAGTTTCTCGACTTGATTCAGACCGTAATTTTAATTGTTAATTCTTTTGTTCATGAATTTTGCAAACCAATAGAAAACGATGAAAATGAATCCTCTTCTGGTGACAATAGGTAAGCACCTATTGAGATAACAAATTTGCTAACTACTTTGTCTTAAAATATCAATTATAAATACGTCGTAACAATATTTCACAGATTGGGTTCAAATACAGTACCTAATGAAATGTGGCAAATGTCTCAAATGTAAATTTTATTCAAATACCACAAATGCAAGAGAGATTTGTGTCTCTCCGGCAAAAAACAAATCTACAACGACAAGTCATACCACGTGAGAACATTCGCCCAGTTAAATTTTGAGGTCACATAATCTCTAAAAATAAGTAGCCTACTGACGGGCCATATATACCTGTTTTCAGCAACAAAGTTGGTATGATAGTGGCTATCGTAGTTATACTGGCAATTGCACTGCTATTAGCTGGTATATTCGCTTGGTATTGGTTCAAACATTTACGAAAAAGCAGCAACGATCGACAGGAGAAAGAAGTGACGTTGATCAATATGAAAACAAGATCTGAACTTGGTAAGCTTATATTAAAACTACATCTAACTATTTTGGAAAGAAACATCTATCAGCGTCCATGCTACACGATTGCATAGGTACGTCATTATCAAGTAATCTTGTGGGGCAAATTTTCTCAATATCATCTCTTAAAATAATTTCATCAGTGTATGTCTCATGTCTATTTGGTGGTTGAGGCATAATTTTTTTTTTCAAAATCTCCAATTTGGTATAAAATATACTTTTTGAATGAATAGAGGCATTACACAAACTAATGTCAGTTAAATTGCGCAAGAATTCTACATGAGGTTCGCATCAATTAGCCATATTATTATACAAAGTATACGAAGAAATAAACGTGTTATCACTTTATCAGTAAATATTATCTAGTAAAATTAGTAACGAAAGAATGATACTTACCAATTGATTCACTTTCTAAGATCACGAATCGCAGTGTCCAAGCCAAGAGAGTAATGATACTGAATACTACCGTAAACCATGCCCATAGATACAACTTTTGCGAGTTGTGAGAATTATGTTACATATCAGAGCATTATATAGTTTTGTATCAGTGTTTGTGCGCTTATAATTATTTCGATACGTTCAAGAGTACGATTGTTCGCATGATTTTGTGTCTGGCAAAAATAAATGATCGTATATTATGGTTGTTCGGGTCTTAGTTAGTTTTTATACAAAGATCTGATTTAATTTGTAATGCTATAACAGGTAAAAAGGGGAAAGCAAGCTCAAGAACAACTTCTATAAATGTTGTAAATTCCAAAGGTGGAGGAGGGAAAAAACCAAATGGATTTTTAAGTGAACTTCAGAAAATGTCACAGGACATAATCATGGAAGAAGTTCACGCTGATGAAACGGTATCTAGGCAAATTTTAAAAATAATTTATTCTTTTATTATCCAAGACTAATCGATTCATTATATGAAACATTAAAATCTGACAACATACATGTCGCAAATTCATCATATGCACACACATATGCTTATGTGAATTATAATAATTTATATTTTTTTTTAAACAATTTCTAAAATATAACTTGTATAATAATATATATATCTGCTGCCATTATGCTCTACCGACTTTCATTTTCATCAGCCCGAAAGAAACGTGAAAAAACGGGAAACCATGCCAAATGAGATGCAGAGATTTTCACATCCACAAATTATGAATCAACCAATCAAGTAAACTTTTTGATTTCTTTTAACTGCAGAATATATGCTTGCTACATTGTGATCGGAGCTGAGTCACAAGTGATTGCAAGTGTGACAAAATGCCTGGGTTCGAATTTCACCGCGTTACTTGCAAATGCAATGTACCCGGTTTTCGCACTTTGCAATGCAAACCTGTAACCATCAACGTTCAATATGAATACCTTACTGTTGGAATCCTAGTCTGATACCCTGATGCAGATCATAAGCCTGACAATGCATACCCTGGAAGTAAAAACAATACCTAGCCTCGACACGGCTCATAATCCTTCTAGTCACGCACAATGACAGTAGCGCAAGTAACTAATAAATAGGAACAGTCCAGGAGTCATGCAAAATAATAGTCCGTCGATATCACCAATTCCCACTCTCGGTAAAAATTTTACCAACCCAATATGAAGAACATAGGCTGAGATGCGACATGCATTCCCTACGCGTACATTTAAACTGAAAATGCAAGCAGAATAGCATTCGGCCCCTGTTAAGAAAGGGATCAACAATGAAGTGCAACGGTATGGCTCTACAGACCACGATCGCTGTCATCGAAAGTAGTAGAAGTTACGGCTTTATGAAATTGGATATATATACTTGATTTCGAATAACAAGATTGCGCAGCCAATTCAATGCTGTAATACATATATATCGGGAGAATTTTTCCATTGATGCTTTGCGATTTCGCTTGTTAAGTAACCAGCGAGGTGCAACTGATTCGGTTCTAAAACCAATACCTAATTTTTAGGAGGATTTCGATACCCATTTCGCCGGATGAAGTCGCAATGATGCAACGGAGTCCAATAGCAAATATCCCGTTTGCTAATAAAAGTAAGTTGAACATGTTCTTATTTTTCATTGGAAAACTACTACTCCACACTTTCAAATTTAACGTCACAAATATACCATTTATAGACAGTCAGCAGGCACCCATGAACATTTCTCCGGAAGATGCCGTTACGCTATTGAACTATTTGAAAACAAATGACGGAAATCAATGTGATATACCGACTGCTCTGTGTGCAGGTATGAGCATATTTCGTGCTAAAATCATGTCATTATTGCACCTTTTAATTTCCATGGAATTGTACGTGGTGCTTTTCGAAGTTCTCAATGCTAATATAGGATTTAGTTGAATGTGGCGATATTTTTACTTCTCGATAAGGGATAAACCATAAAGAAGTAAAGTAAACGTAAGAAACTAGTTTCACTTTTCAATTTTGAGATAGCCAGTGTTTCTTTATAAAGATAAATTTCTAAGTCTAGTTTTACGAACTGATATATATATATATGTGTGTGTTTCACCCTTTATAGTTCAAAATAAGAGTGGAAATCCAATGGCATCACTGTACCCAAGTTATCGAAATCCTTCCCAAATGCAACCAAACAAACCATACAATTCGGTTAATCGTCGGATGCCAGTTGCTTCAACAGATGAGTCTGTAGAAAGTATTGATCTTACTCCCGGAGAAGCAGCAGATGTTGTAAATTATCTCTTGGCCAGCTCCCCGACTAACGGTTTACTAAAACCAGAGGTATGAAATTATAATAATCTTCTTCCGATTCACCAATTTTTCTTATTTATCCATGAAAGACTAAAGATATTTTTATTGTACACCATAGGAGGCCGTCGAGGTAATGAGAGAAGTTCGAGATAATAGAAATCGGAACAGAAACTCAATGCGCGAAAAAGAAAAAACTGTGGTGTTCAATCCACAAGAGGCTGCTAATATTGTAAACAGCTTTGGATCTCGAAACAAACGTGATCCTCGTATGTAAGTATTTTTATATTTCATTATATTCAAATACCAAGAAGCTTTATAGGCTATAATATGTTTTTCGTAGGAAACTAAGAGAACGACACAAACGCAATAGAGGTTTTCGTCCGTATACTCCAATAATGGAAGAAGATTCTCCTGTGGATGATGTCAGAAGTCAACATAATTTTCAATACAGGTGAATGGACAAAAATATGAATTTTACGAGAATATATCAAAATATATATATAAACACTGTACCTTTTTCAAATGTGAATATGTTCATGCTTGAATCACAGCGAAAGTCCTTCAGACAACGACACGACAATACCTTCACCAAGAAAATCAAAACAAAAACATATAGCCTACGCAAACACCATTGACCCAGAAGAAAAAGTTAACGATTGGTTGAAAGCATCTCCAAAGAGGAAGGTTTGAAATTAAACAAAAATATTCAAAATCGTGTTCAAAAATGTTTGATTATGGTGAACGAACGAGTCCCCATTATTTTTAAAAGCAAGTAGGCCTACTTTAAACATGTCGGCATAGAAACAAAAAAATTCTAAACCTAGTTGTGTTTCTCTTTTTGAATCACGTCTTCTAATAAAAATTCGCCTCGTGTATTTCTATTCTCAAGGCAAGGTATTTATACACAAAACTTTTGAGGAGATGTAGGCTCGCTCAAATACACTATAGAAAACTCAAAGTTTGTTGGACTAATTCCACATAATAGGCTCATTGACTTATAGTTACAAGTCCGGGCGGAGAATTGATATTGTATTCTCATTCTATTTTCAAGCCACGGAAAGAAAAACGACCGTATTCGGCTGCCAACTCAAACACAACGGAGACTCACACAGTAACGAGGAGTTTCCCACAAAAACAACGACACAAGTGAGATGAATTTGTCATAGCTTTTGACAAATGACATGAAGTTTAAGATGATTGTTCAACTTGTACCAATTACTAAAAAAGTTTTAATTGTTCTCGTTATTGAATTATTCTCCAGAAATAAACAACAAGACATAGTGGAAAATGATATGTCATTAGTGGATTACGAAGACGATGCACGAAGCTCAGTACCTAGAACAATACGACAAACTAGAGTGAAAGTTCCAAACGGAAAAAGGATTTCTTTGCCTGTTACTGGTATATTTATCTCTCTATTTGCATTTAGTTCGTAAATTAGTATAGATCAGGTAGCCTACGTATTTGTTGCTCAGTGAAAAACGGGGGCCTCCTAATAGTGATCTGCTGAGGCATAATTTTCCATAATTGCCTAAATCTGTGTAAAATGACAAGGCCTTGTCATGTTACATAGATTTTGTTATGAAATTAGATTATAAAGATAATAACGTTACATCGGAGACATCAGCATAAGTGTTGGAAGTGGCTCAGTTCAGAAATTTTGTCGTAATGGTCAGACTCTTATATATTAGCAACAAACGCTACACTACGACTGTATACAACCCTACTTGAAATTCGAACAGTTGCCTACAGATGACTCCTTTAATCAGTTAAATTTCTACTTTCCAAATAGAATCTTTGATCTAAGGTTTTGTGATTTATTTTTATAATAATATTTATAAACAGAAAACAAAGCTAAATCTTTGGTAGAGAAGTTGGTGAAAGCTCCAGTTCGAAGCAATCAGAACGTAGTGGGACCATCACTCGGCGTAAAAAGACAGAATGCCTTCATGGATTAACTTCGCCGATTGTTTGAAACAGAAGGAAACAAAAAATAGTATGAAGACCAGAATAGAAGATTTTGCTGAAGTATCTTCATAACCAGCAGATTTCCGTGTCACAGTATACCTCTAATAAGAGTCTTAGTCATTCTACACTGGCAGATACGAATCACCAATTTGCCCGATGCATAGTCGTCGAGTATTGCCAATACTACCTCAAATAGTATATATATATTTATTCCATGAACTGCAATGGCTTGCTTGCATCGATAAACTCGGACAAAATGTGCAAATATTGCTTGCGATCGATTCTTTTTTGTAATAAAAGTACAATGCAAAAATTCGCTTGACAGTTACTGTTTTTGGAAGGATAAGACTTACATATTTCTCAAGGGGGAAGAAGAGCCGATAAGAAGGCATATTCATATGGCGAATCACCGCCTAATGTCCGTTTATCAGTCATTCCACGCCGACGAGAAGTCCAGCAATCCTCTCGCACATAATTATCCCCCTTGAAACAGAGGTGCGATGGCAAGCGTAGCACGATGTGCCACAACGCCGGGTCAGTCTAGCAAGGTTTATTTATATAGACTGTTACACGGAGAAATGTGGCCAAACAGTCTGTACCATACTCGGCTAACGTACAAAGGACTGCAGCGAAAATCACATTATCCTGGTTATTGTCATCCAGTCAATTTGACGGATGGGGCCAGAATGTGTTAATAAAAGAAACGTTTGCATATCCCTAAAAATGATACAAGTAGCATTGTCACCACTGTGGTGGGATGGATAATGTCGAGACTTTGGTAAGTTGACGTCCCGGGATTTTTCACGTATATTGCTTCATTCTTTTGTACAATGTTTTCGCGTTCAAAGATTTGATAACCTTTGTCGATAACTCCATACTGAGTTGTTAATTTTACTGATGAATGAAATCGCGCTCCGTCGCCTCACTACCTTCTACAAATACTCATATCATAAACAGCTTCAATAATTGTCTTGCCACGTAAAGAGATAAAAAGAACATTTACGGTAAATATCATCATAGTCAAGAAGTTGGAAGTCACCATATTATGTATGTACGAAACGCAAAACCATCAAAACAAAAACAAGATGAACAGTAGCATAACATTACACAGCAACACAGTTGCAGTGAAGCGGTTATATGTACACAGCACAACCGTGCGAAAAACCGAGATGAACAAAGGGAAAAAGAAAGGCATAAATTTCAAATTTACTATATAGTGAAAGCGTTGAAAAATCATACTATATTAAAATGTATCGGGCCTGATTATTTGGCTTGCTTTTGGGGGAATGAAACATATAACAAGGAGAAAGTTGTTATGATTTGTAAACACAGTTTAAATTATATTTGGTTAGCATGAGCCATAAACAGATCATTCCAGCTTACAATACCGTATGATATAACCTTATAGTGGAAGAATAACAGTAATTCACTTTACATATCTTAAAACACGTGAATCACCTGTTATATTTTTCAATCTCTTCAGAAACTTCCTATCTAAAATATCTGTAAGTGCACTATTAAATTGAGTAATGAATAAATGTAGTACACATTATGCAAGAATAGACTTTGGTTGGATTGGCATCATTTTTATATAGCATAATAAGTCGAATGAATCCAATATAAGTATGTCAGTACTAAAATCATCAAAATATCATTGAAAATTCATTGCGTATGATAGTCGAGGCACACAGTTCCAGAAGTGAGTTTATATTTTCAAATATGCCTCAATAAAAATGAATTGAGTGAGCAAACCCTTAAATTGTAATACTAAATAAGCCCTCAGAAATCAGTACTTCTTCTTCAACAGGCTAGAAAAACTAATAAAAAACAGAATAAAAACCAGACTATAGAATCGAAGACTACATAAATTGCCCAGCATGTACAGCAAGAAAAAGGAAAATACAATTAATTGTGCGCAATGTACAGTTTATATCCTGTTTTGTCACTAAATAAGCAAGTAAACAATCTGTCTTCAAAGTTGAAACCGCACCTGGTTTCCACAGAATTGAAAATGACAAATGAATAGCCTACATAAAAAGAAGATAATCAAAATCAAAGAAGAAAACATAACAGACGAGATAAAAATTGGCCTAAAGATGGACACTTGTAAAACGCGCATCATTTATAAATCAGGGGAGATGAGTACAAAACCTAAAACGACATGCAGCTTGTGAATATGGCAACCAAAGGAGAAGTTATTCAAGCAGACTAGACCTATTTGACATCCACAAAAAGAATAAACATACCGTTATTGCACAAGTTTACTGATTCATGCTCTCACCAAATTCCAGCTCCATTAGATGAAGCTGAATTATAACCCGATGAAATTTTATAATAAACTTGTTTTAACTGGGAAATACCACATATCATTTTGTCAATAATTTGAACAAATTTTTTCTTCTTGTTGAAAAATGATAAGCATCAGATTTAGAATCCAAATCTGTCTGAAAGATTCAGTAATTTAAGCTTTCCCAAAAATTTAGTGGTTTATTAATATAATTTGCTACCCTTGCATCCAGTAATCTTTTTAGAGCATTCCAACACAAATAAAATAGTCTGATAACAGATTTGCCACGAAATTTTTTTTTAAATCAGATAAATTGCTTAGAGGAAAACTGATTGACGAAACTAAGTAATTGACTGAACAGGTAACGTTTGGATGGAACTTTGAAAAGCAATGTAAACGAAACATTGCTGGGGTATCTTTAAAATTGTGATCGCCCAATGTCACAAAATCTACAGTTCTTATTCTGACAAGAATTCATATGAATACAAGTTCAATTAATGATAGCATAATATGTTATGTAGATAGCAGCAGGAAATCTCAACATAAATCACGGGAAAGAGCAATACACAGATATATGACCAGTCTGAATAAATTACCCAGTTATCAAATCCATACTAAAACCGGTCAAGAAAATTCCCAGCAAATATGTGCCAGATTGAAAACGAGCTCCCTCATAAAAGCCTGCACTAGTCCAAAGTTGAAATACACTCGTAAGTTGTCCACTGCCAGACCAACACCAATAGTATATCCTCACAGCTTGTATGCATGCACAAAGCTGGATACAGTCATACATATTCACTACATTCCACCAAGCAGTTAAAAATCGAATTCAACTGGGATATTCAGCTGTGCATAGACCAGCTTCGAACAATCACTACTTTTTTACTACCTACAATTTATTACAGCGTTTGATCAATAATTATTTTCAACTAGCTAATCATGTGGCGGCTAACTTTTTACATATTTATATTCAGCATTGAAACTGACAAGGCAGATGTCTTTGTAAATATAAAGATCATTATATAACTTTCCCACATGCAAGACGAAATGGCAACTGTTGGCAGAAACGTTTGTACAGAATGTTGTTATACTGTAGTATCTGTTTTAAAATCGAGGCGTAAAACTGTGCACAGAGATACCAAAAACAACTTCAAGTTGTCACTGACAGGCAATGACCAAATTTCTCTGCAAATGCATCCAGTGTTCAAGGAAATGGGAATAACAGTTTCGACTTCATCTTCTTGTTGTTGTCTTTTTCCTGCGACGCCTGAAGCAACAACATCTGAAAAGAAAGACAGACATTTAATTTTCATCTATTACAGGAAATATTTAAATTTTATGACAGGAACGCAGGCCTACCTGTTAAAAGAATATCTGTCCCTAAAAAATCTTATTCTATATTATTATACAACATGGCTTAATTTGGAGGTGAATTTGACATACGTTGGGGGTGCATTTCGCGAGCAACAAAGTACACAACCGAATTTTAGTTCTATTACGAGTTCGGGACTGTCTGTGTTAGACAAGTGAATATACCTTGCACCTAGGCCTTCACACAAATTGATGTGAAGTAGGCGAACAAAATTAGTTACCTCCATATTGGTACACACACTTCTGAAGCGTCAATAATTAAATACTAGAAATGGCAAACCATCTATAAACTAGACAGTACAATATTGAATGGCTTCTTACTAAATTGACTTGGTAATCTAATTTGCTTCAATGATGTTACTTAGTAAATAACCTTGCATTATCGTAATTATTAAAAAACTTACAAACAGGATATAAGAATTTTCCTTATGACATTACTGTAATAACCATTAAGAAATACTTTGTTATTACTTTATTTATGCATAATTTCCGTAACAAGCACCTTGGGGAATACCTGTTTTATGGTATAACATTAATTCATAATGTTTTAGGCAAGGATTATCAAGTATTTTTCCTCAAAATTCCCATACATGGACCAATCAACAACCGAGTAAAAAATTGAATATAATGTTAAAGCAGTGAAACATGGTAGGCTTGTGCAATTATCATTCGATTTATATTTATTCATGCGCGAAGATGCATTCTTAATCAAGTTCTTGAGCCTTTATAGATGCGGCCATTCTTGAATATATTTCATGGTATGCGAGTTCGTGTGTTTTCAAAATGACATTTTGTTAATTCCCCTGTTGGGAAACGTTACAGCAATTTTACGGTCTATGTTAATAACTTCCGCCAGAATTAGGAAAATGTTAACGTTGTAGAGTTCAGAGAAAATTTAAATTATTGATATAAAATGGCACACAAGTGAATGATTCTCAAGCTTCAAGTAAATTTTTGAACCAGTTTTCTGCCCATTGCAAATAAAAATACATTTTATCAGGCATTTTCTAGTAACCTCATTTCATAACTTGGATGCTAGATTTACTGACAATGGAAATTCAAAGAGATAGGAAAAAATAAAAAGAGTACAATGCTCAAATAGATGGACACGAAGGTCCAATAACCAATCGCAGTACTGGTAGCCTATGCAACATACACTTAAACATGTTATCTGACAATTTGAAAATCTTCGGTACTTCTGAAGTATGCGCACCAAGATGTCACACAACGTGAACCCTAAGCTGTAACACAACCTGAGTTCAGGTTGTGCGCCATCTTGGTGCGCATACTTCAGGAGGTCCAAATCTTCAAATCAAAATTGCATACGGTACCAAGTGCCACTACCATAGCAATTTTACATGGGCAATGCGTTGGCTGAACAGCCAGCACTGGCTTTGTCAGATTGATCTCACATAGTGCCACTTGCTGTAAAAATAGCTTATAGGGCTGAGAAAACTACCAAATCCAATACACTGATCACACTTATGGTTATTGTTCAAGATTGCTTGAATGTGAAGGAAACAAAAGTTCATTCATCCATTTGTAAAGATCTACCCGGTATATATAATTTATTCATAATTCAATGTTCTTACTTTGTTTCGCTGACAATATCAACGTCAGGATGTTGTTGTGTTATTGGAGCATTGGAATGTGCAGCTGCGTGATCATCCCCATTTGTTTCCATATCTCTCTGTTGCTGAAATTTTTTATAATAAATCAATTTTCAAAATAATCTGAAACACTAAATATTTCTCGATTCATATTAACCGTCAATAACCATTTGGGTACACACCAGTAACACTTTGTTTATTTGATTAAATAAAGAATTTACAATTCATTTTGTACCATTTCTGCGGTTGAAAAATAAGCTAATACGAAATCAGGTCAAATCAACCACATGAAATTCAAGAGTCAATAAATTACGAAATAATATTTGAATAATATGATTAGTGAATAAAAAGACCTAAAATGCTTAGGATTAGCAAATTTCCACCACAATTTTTCATAGATAATTTAACCATGGTTCAGCTGCAAAAAATGTTCAACAGAAAACTATTTGGACACCACAATTATGAAAATTAAAAGTTCATAATATGATATAGGCGGAGATTTCAATTCAAAAGCAAAGTTAACTATTAAAGTAGAAGATTTAATTAGAGAAATAAATGAACCGCTTTTGTTAATAAAAGCATATGTATATAGATGGGTTGAAAATGATACAAGATAAAACAAAAACTTAATGAAGTGATAGTATAATATGACAAATAATATATTTTCTATGAAATGTTCTTCTATTATGATAGAAAAAAATATCCCATAAATGGGAGGAAATGTGCATGAAATAACAAAACCATCTTCCTTTGATTCCATACTTTTTCATTTCTGATTTTCAGAGGTAAATGAATCTACTTCATTTAAATTTTGATGGGATAAGTTAATAATATCAATACAATTAGGTCTGCCCTGCATCATATTAAACATTGCGTAATATGCATTTAATGAAGTATCAAGGTAAAGGCAACATAATAATGAGTAAGAATAATGAAATAGAGAAACTTGTCAAGTTGACAGGGAAAAATAAAAATAAAGGTAAGTCGGCCACCAGCCTTTTATTATGGTGGTCCCCATCTGAAAGTATGTATATCATAATACGATTTTACTTTTTACCTTAATTAACAACTTACAAAGTTACAAAAAAGAATTGAGTTATAGAAGATATATGTGTTGAAAAAAAGTTTATGGAAAAATAAAATGTTTAAAAAAATCTGATGTTTGATGCTAATTTTACCGGACTTTGTCGACTTCCTTGTTGGTATCGAAGTTGATAATTGACATGCCTTGGTTTCCATCCTCCCATATTTGAGGATGGCTGCTGCTATTTTTTAAAAATTATATTTTATAATCCACAACCTTCCACTAGAAATTACATACCGTAAGTTCACAATTCTTAAATTTTCAGAATAGTGAAACAGCTAAATATGTCGGCAATACAAACCCTATGTACGGTAACCATAGCATCGAGGGTGGGATGAATATTGTTGTATTGAAATAATTCTCGTCATTCTATTTCTATGATAACTCCCTATAAGGTATCAGTGGCTGAGAATAGAGACATTTATTCAGAAAGAAGAGTGAGAAACACCTCAGAAAAGAAAAATATTGATGATGGCCGACGGGTATAAATAGGGTGGTGGTAAGTGAAATGTAAGAGATTATTTCATCTCACAAATTTGATAACTTATCAGTTATCCCTATCACCATATTTTTATTTAGTGATATTTATAGTCTCTCCAAGTGAAAGTCTTTTTCCCTTGTGTTATCATAGATACTTTTGGTTCGAAAAAATAGCTTAAAAAATTTGATTTTAACATTTCATGAATTAAAATAACGAAATGGGTGTTTTACAGTGTTAAAGCCAAAGTAGGTATTTCTGACAATTTTCCTTCCCTTCACAGTTTGGTAAACAGTATTAACTTTATACTTATAATTCCTTGAATATATTTGAAAAAAAACAATTCGATTCATATTTCACCAGAATTGGCTGGCTGTATGTAAGGCCCTATTAGGGACAAAAAGGCAGATAAATATGTTGTTTAGAAAGATGTTTGTTAATTTGCTCAAAATATTACTTTTAAATCCAAGATTATAAAAATATACTTAATTTGCATGCATTGCAACATATTATACATAGTCTGTGAGTCAAGTTATACAAATGTGGACATCCCCAATCTATCGACTACATGTGGCAGGTAACAATAATACGAGTCAGACAAAAAGGAATCAATCATTCACAAGTAGTCAACCGTGACTCCTTTTATTTGTCAAATGTCTAGTTTAACACAGCCTTTTGACAAGAACAAATATTAGCACAATATTCGATATTTAACAACTATTTATAGGCCAGATTTGTTTTGTATTAGCGATAAACTATCCGCAAATTATCAAAAATTCTGTGTCTATATTAATCATTAATCATATTAAGAAAACCGATCAGATAAAATTTTGATTGAGATATTTCCAAAAATTTTCATTGAAAATTTCAACATCTTATCATTATGTATTTGGACAATACGAATACGAAAAAGCATTTGAATCATAGCCTGAGTCATCAGCTGTAAATTACATTACAATAAAAATGCAGTGACAAGCCACAGGCTCACAGCGATTGGTAATCAGGTCACATCACAAGTCAAACAGCAACCCTAAAATAGGTTTTTGTTAATAACCATAACCTCAAAAATAATCCAAAATCTTTAGGTAAATTTGAGATAAAATTGATAAAATAATCCATATATAAATCAAAATCTGTTTACCTTCTTATAAAGATTACAGATGTATGAATATATTTTTCTATGATAAGGGATCTCATGGGGATTTGCATGGGCAGGAAACTAGAATATAATCAATAAAACCCCCTCGTTATGCCAACAATAATCAACACAGGAAATTCTCTGTCAATAATATGGATACTTTTTCTATAGATAACTCATTTTCATAATGAAAAATATTTTTGTGTTGTTTTTTCAGTTAAATTCAATCATAAAATTTTAATTGCTTATGAGGAATTTAATTGTAGACAAAACCCCTTTTTAATCAACTTATGATAAACGATAACGAAATCATATTTTGGAGTGTTTATGGGTATTGGACATTTTTGGATCAATGAAATCGATAAGACAGCTGTTTTGTGCTTTTTGTGGTATCATCGCAAGGTATAGAGTAGCGCTCAAAAAATATTGTGTTAAAATTTCAATGTGAGAAATATTGAATATATTTGTTTTAGAAATTCACTCAAGTTTAGAAATTAAACATAGCATTTTTTTGACGCAAAAAAACAGAACCTATAAATTTCTTGATTACTGGTACTTCTATGAAAATGAGGAAAATCTATTTAACACTTTTAAACTTCTATTTGTCTATGATTGTACCCAAAAGTTTCAGTAATCCAGGGCAGTTTGCACAAAAGTTATGTTCTCTCTACCTGGAGTATGTGGCGCTCCAAAAGTATGTGGACCACAATAGGAAGATAACTAATTTTGTTTGCCTATTTTACATCAAGTTGTGTAAAAGGACTGAAACCTGTGAGCAGGGGTATATTCACTTGACTAACACAGACAGTGCGGAACTCGTAATAGAACTAAAATAAGGAAAATCGGGGAAAAAATTATGGCCTAATCCTAACCTGGTACAAACATTACTGGAGTACCGAATATGTTCAAAATCACCTACCGGTAAGTTATGTTTTTTTGTAACCATTCTGTAATGTTAGCTCGAAAATCCAAAATTGAAAAATCGAAAGTAAGAATATTAGATTAGTTCAGCTTGTTACCACATATAGACAAAGCTCCGCAATTTTCCTTCCTCTGTCACATTCTCTTTTCTATTTATTTCAATTTCACCACCGTGTGGTTTGTTGGCCAAAATTCAATTCGATTTGGTACATTTTCGCAGAATTACAGATTAACTAAATACAAATATTCTAAAGAAGAATCTATTTACTTAAAAATGGAAAAGTTGTAATCTAGGCTGTAACTTATATGTTAACATTCACACAAAAAACTCGGGCATACATTAAAATTTTTATAATTAGTCTGATTAAAATTTAAAAATCATTACCCGTTGTTAAGTTCCTGATCAATTATACAACAGAATAAGAACGTGCATTTTGTATAATAAATTAATATAATTGGACATAAATCATTATTCCAACCGTGGTTTTGGTTAACTTATATCTATCTATCTTGACAGACAAACACGAGATAATGCGAAACTAATTGACAACGAAAATAATAATTCTATATTTCTAATGCCAAATTTAGTTCCAATTGAATTCATTGCATATTTTCTTAGGAAGATAAGAGCATTAACAAAAAAGTGAATCAGATTCATATTTTTTAGTCAGGCCTACTTGAGTAGACATACAGCTTTCTTTGTTAAATAGATACATACCAATACCATAATAATAGACAGAGCTAATACAGACAAAAGCTGGACACGATTTAAATTCTCTGAAGAAATCTATCAGTGTTTAAATTCAATATGCAAAAGCAGTTAATATACATACTACCAGTATTGCTTGATAATATAATTATTATGTTCTATTGAAAACAGTTAATAAGCATGATAATTGGTAATAAGCTAAAGAACTTGAAAATTGTCACAACCTATATGGAAACTGATTCACATGGTTCCATTATCACATGATCTTTTGTGTCGTGGAATTAAAAACGTACGATCGAATAGAAACCTGATATTAGGTGTATCAGCAAGACATCACTTCACTATAATTAGAAAATGACCAATAACAATGATGAAATTGAATGATGAAAATGAAAATTATATTTTCTAAAATAGGTATGAACATTATCTATTAGTTGAGTTTTAACGTAGCTCTTTCAAACGGTTGCCACAACATTTATTTAGACACTAATCTCAGTCTTATGGAAAGGTCCTGTGGACCACGCCACTAGGACTGAAGAATAATGTCATCATAAAAGCCTATTTAATTATGTATAATACCATTTAGTGTACCAAAATAGTAAAATATATCAAATTCTATGAGGTGAAGACTGGGAAACTAGACTGGGTACAAATGTGATCAAACGTAGGTTGTTAAAACTCCAAATTAGTTGTGGTGAAATTCTGGCATATTAGAGTATACGTAATGCCAATCTATAAACGAATATTATCTATCATAACCTACACGAAAAAAATTCATTAGAAACATCTTTGTCTCACATACTACGTGTTTGTTACAAAAGCGAAGTGATGGCTCAAAAAAGTAAACCCATAAAATTATATAAGAATATAAGTACCACATCAGGCTATCAATTAAAAAAAAATTGAAAAAAAAAGATCTGCATCTTCACACAACAAACGAATTCAACACAAATTGTCACAAAATAAGTCAGAATATACCATCTCAAAAAGGCATATTTGTTGTGATTTTGATACAACCAAAATATGGGTTATCAAGAAAACCTCGTTACAAAAAGTAAATTTTTCAAATAATATTCTATTCTGCATAGGGCTTCTGTAGTCGGTAACACAACAAAAATCAATATCTGTGAGCTTTCTGATGTATAAAATAAACAAGAGTAAAAACAAGAGAAATCTACTCACCCTAACTTGAGGTTGATTTCTTGGAACTTCTTGAATAGGCACTTGCGGTTGTGTCTGAATTAAAATAAGGGCTCAAAAATGCTAGTCATTCATATAACAAACGTTCAATGAGACAAAAAAACAGTTACTGGTATATGAAATTGCTGATTATTAAAAATGGAGACTAAGTTTCAGTCCTTGTTCTATTGATGAAATAATGCATGGAAAAGTGGGGTTTTGATTAATTAAAATACAAAAAAAAATTCAATCACAATAACCACATTTTGAGTGTAAATTTTTAAATATTATCAAATGTGATAGCATTTTGCATATCAGAACATGCAGAAAGATTAGACATTACAAAATACAAGATAGATGAGCAGTACATAAGCAAGTATAAAAAGGATTACAGTTTTCCAATTTTAATATTTGTCCGGATGGAATTTTTTATGGGTAAATTTTGTTCAACTTCAAATATTAGAGTATAATAGCAAATTAAATTATAATTTATACTAAGCTTATGTGGGTGGTTTGGTCCTCATGGGGTAAAATTCCAATCTCTTTCAGATTTCAATTTATGAATCTTTTTTTTATTTAGGGCAAAATAAAACAAATAATAGCTACAAAATCTTTATGGCACTACCACACTCCCGATGAAAAATTGTTTTTATTGAAGAACAAAGGTGACATAAAAAGCGATAGCTAATTTCACGAGAACCAACTATTGAATGGGATATTGGTAGAAAGTACACTAATAAAAATTTATAGTCAGTCCCATAGAAAGGTCATCTCAGTATGATTCATTTCCAGTCTTTGACACTTACTAGAAACCTTCACAAATGTTATCTGCATAATTTTTGAAAGTAGCACATATACAAAAAATATTCCCTCATCTAATAAGATGGGAAAAACACTAGAAACCTTCACAAATGTCATCTGAATAATTTTTGAAAGTAGCACATATACAAAAAATATTCCCTCATCTAATAGGAAAACATCAAAAAAAGCATGTATAAAACAAATTCACTGAACAGAAAATAAAATACATACTAATTGTTTGTGTGACCAATCAAATTCATTGTCGTGTGGATAACCCATTCTTTCGTAAAGATCGGTGAATAATTTGCGAAGGTAATCGTAATCTGGCGTTTCAAAAAAATCCAGGTGTCGAACGTACCGTAGGTATGTCGCCATTTCTTCTACAAATAAAAATACAAAGTGAAGACACGATTGAAGTTACAAATAAACCCAGTCTATGAAATCGATATATACAACATGGAAGAAAAGAAGATAATACTATCAAGACTGTGAAGTCTGAGCCAAAGGTTGGTATAATTCCATTGAAGTCTCAAAAATGAATTTTTAAAATTCCCGAAGTCTGATTTCGTAATTTCAGACTTAATAATGATGATAACTGATGTCAAAATTTTCTATGAAATCTTGAAGAGTTTAATTGAGTAAGCGTTAGGTCTATTGAAGGTTTGCGTATGCCCTACACTAAAGTTTTTATTATAAAAATTATGTCGAAGGCACTCGGAGCTCTAAATTTTAAAACTTTTTCAATCTGGGAGTCTGACCCTATTGTAAATTTTACTCCAATGCTTCAGAAAATTGTAAATCATAACAAATAGACAAAAGAGTATCTGACAGTTGACCATATTGCAATTGTGAACATCCACATAAGTGCTTCTATCACCATATATATATCCCAATATTTAACACAAAAACAAAAAATATTCGATAAAAATACCTGGATGATTTTCACATAAAACTTCAATTGGTGTAGTGCGTTTTGTGTCTCCTATTTTTTGATAACGTTCTTTTAAAGTTTCGGCCTGAAAAATCACAACAGATGATTGATTAGCGTACTTGACACTTCTATGTGTATAAAGGTACAGCATACAGCTATATACTAAAAGATTTCCACGACAAATAGCATTTGTTATAGTAGTCAAACATACAATAACAAACACACACATGTCTAACTGTATCAAAATCATAAAATTATCCAAAATATATTTATATTTTAAATACCGGTACTTTGAGTTTAAACTATTAAAGAGCAATAATTGACACAGGTCAACTTTTTACCATTTCCCAATTTTTTCATTACTACATAAACAGTCAATAATTCAAGTATCTAAATTGCCACAAGACGCTGTATAATTAAAATTCACTAAATTTCAATTTTCATTTTACTTGTCCATATTTCATAATTTTGCACATTCATCAAAATAGCATAATAATTTAAAATACACTATCTCTTCATTATTTCTCATTACCAATTCATAAAAACACACAAGTTAACATGTGATATAGTAACGTCTTATTGCTTTTGGAATCGATTAAGACAAACAATAGAAATGGTACAGGCATGTGATTACATGATTACGCAATATAAATATGCAATGTATTATATATCCTAATCCATGTTCACTATCACTACATTGCAACACATGAGCAAGGATTTTAGTTGATACTGTCAAAATCAACAAAATTTGCTGTTCATCAGTTAACTTTCATATTATGTATATGTTACCTTTAATCCTTGCCAGGGTAAGCTTCCTCTCAAAAAATACATAAACATATGACCCAGAGCTTCAAGATCATCTCTTCGACTTTGCTCTAAAAAACAATAAATAAACTAAGACTTGCTAAAGAAGCTTGAATGATACTTAGGTTGATTTAGGATTCAGCATTGTTACATAAAATGCATTTTCACCAATTATCATTTAACCAGTTGTGAGTGTTGTGACACACATGGCAGTGTTCAATTAGCATGAAATGATAAATTTATCTGTTTGTCGTCCAATTGGCCTGAATTGAATTTGAACCTCTCAGTGTTGTGACAACAAATTTCATTCTTTCATGTTCTTTTATTATGTATTGTCTGTCTGTTGTTTATATGGATTTTTAAGCTATTTACTTGTTACCATTAATATATTTGTTATGTTTTTATATTTATTTTATTTTTTATTCTATATGGAGTTTCAAACGTCTGAAATTAATAAAATAAATCAAAACAAAAAATATATCTCTTCTCATTGGTACATTAGCTAGATATCTAGGAAAGATATGGTTCCCAGCATGTGAGTAAATGTTGAGAATAAAGGAGTTCTTCATATTTATTGTTCCAATACATTTTATCTTCAATTTGGTTTTCGCTCGGATGAATTTCAGTATAATTTCATTACAAAACAACCACCTTAAGATTACATTCAATCCAAACAGACTCCATGGTATATTCCGAATCGGCACTGGTACATGTGTGTGAATGTGTTTACTTGGCAAGCGATCTGGTTGGCCAATTACGTTAGATCAGAATCATTTCTGAATTACATACTGATAGGATTTAAATATCAACTTTTGCCTGTGATTGAATTCATGCGCTTTCATTACAGCATAGCAAGGACAGATAAGGGCAATCACATATTTTTTTACACAAAAAGTTGTTTCGGTTTTGTGGAGTGATCCTATGTGAGTACCCTATTGTCACAATCAGAGAACAGATTTGCTAAAATGCCACATTCTATCAATTTTAGTAGACCATTACATGAGATTGAAGAATAGACTAAAGTTACAACCTCAAACTTTCAAAAAGCATTGTTAATTAACATTACTGTGCCCTTATATCGCCACAGTAGAACCAATTTTGCTTTTGAGAAAATCGCATTTTGTAATAGTTTTGTTCTGACAGACGAACCTAAAATAAACAAATGGCACTAACCAAAAAAATGCCAGAAGACAGTTCCTGGTCCAGAATGACAGAAGATCAAATAAGTCGGTTTTGAAAAAAATGTGACACAAGCTAATTTGGATTCACTGCGATGGATTTGAATTTACTGTCATTTTGTATATGATTCCCAGTTTTACATGACACTTTACTAGTCTTTCACTAAGAACAGGCCTTTGCATGAGATTTGAACCCAAGATTTTCAGCCTGCGATGCCAACACACACAAGTTCCAGTTCCACCAACTAGGCAATTACACTGCACTACAAAAACATCATGCTGCTAAATTTTAATTAAAAGGCTATAAAGTAATAAAGTGTAAAATGACTCTGCATATAAGAAAGTGGAAAATTATCTGTAACTCACCTTTTTAAGTGAAATCGTGTTTCAAGTATTACGTGTATGGCAAGGGTTGTTATTGTTAAAAAAAAAATAGCCTTATAAAGCAATAGTTAATTAAAATTAAAATTAGTCATTTTTGGCAATACTGGCAAAAAACAACTTTGAATTTGAAGATTAATAACTCTCCAGATATGAGACCTACATTGCCTTGTTACATAACGATACAAAACATGATGCAAATTCATTACTGTTTTGATTATGGACCTTTATAATTGGGAATAAGCAGAAAAAAAATATAATTTGTTCAATACAGATGATCTGTCTCTCTTTCGTGAACCAATGAATAATTAATCTTACTTGTCAGCCAATTGTTTCTGGGATGGAGCTACACTTGACTGAACAATATATATATTCGAGAAAGCCATTTTGTTTAAACCAATAATAGAATTCACACAGTTATGTTACAGATCACAGATCATTCAATTCGACAAATTTAATAGGAGATACAAAATATCTTAACTTCTAAAAGATACAATGTATTGCGTCTGATAAAACTAATTTGTCAGTTATCGGAAATGTCGAAATAATAAAAATCCTGTTATGATTCTCATAGGGAATATCAAGTTTTAAAAATATTGAATATAACAGTTATAATATCCAATAAATTTTGAAATTTAGTTGGTATGCAACTCAGACGTGAATAAACCCTTTCCTAAGATATTGCAGTGGGCTGTTGTCTTTGAAACTTAAGGTAGCCTATATAATTTCTACATGCCAAACTTTATATACATCACTTCCAAGTATGTTATTATTAATGATGTTTTGAATGACAAACTAGCATATTCAGCAAGATGACATACTGTTATTATCACAGGATTCACATCAAATTCATGATCAGCACTTTCATTTTATGAATGATCTACAATATAATCCCTAGTATGTATATCAGGTGAATTTGACTAATACAGAATTATTAGGTTGTAGAGTACATAGTAGGCTATATACTGAATACAATATGAATACAAATTAGAGAGCATGCAACAAGAACTGAAAACTGGGCTTTTCTTTTGAAACCAACTTTTCACCAACAAAAACGATCTCATTGCAAAAAGCCGTTGGATACAATCATAATATATTAAATTTCAATTTAAGATCCGATCATTTTGTAATCAATACTCCGACTAAACCACAAAGTAGAAGGTATACATGTACCAGAGTACGGTATAATCAGTTCTTATGTCTTAGAAAATAAAGGCCATACAAGTATCACACATGAAGTGGTGCGCTATGAAAGTACAATTTATCTAAGGCCAATTCTCAGTGAAATTGAATTTCAGATAGTGTTCTTTAATAAACAAGATAAGATTTCCAGTTTGTGTTTGTTGTTAACGCAACAGATTATGAAATATTTGGTTTGTAATCCTGAGGTACAAAAAGCATATGCAAAACAACTTTGATATACCAGTCATTTTTAATATTCATGAAATCACAATCTGAAAGTCAAGCTTGTTGAATTTCAGTCTACCATGTAATTTTTGCTACTTTGAAACGTAACTCCAGGTTGGTAGAATAAATTTGATTGGTTGAAATCTATATTGCAGAATTTTTGTTCCAATCATAATTTCATCAGCAAGACGATTATATAACTAATAAATATAAGACGCCACTGGACTTCTTCAGCACATCTAGTACTGGCAAAAAAGACCCTAGGCCTATAAATAAAAATAAGTGGACTATGATAAGTAATAGTGATTGAGCATGTAAGATTGCGATGCTGGAATACTGGCATAAGGTAAAACAGTATTGACTTTGGTTATTCCACTTTTGGTTTCCAAAACAGCTGCTTTACGAATCAAATTAGACGTTATTGACAATATTTATATTCTTGTCAGGCCATTGAAATAGAACAGACAGAAATACATAAGATCATGCGAATATTGATTATTATAAATACAGACAATACCAAGTGTACACAGTTTTCATGCAATGAATATAATTGATTAAGAAAGAATACCTTTTCCGAGATGCGTGTTTATGCTCATATACCGTGCAGTCCCTGTTAGACTTTTGTGTTCCCTATATGGTATGTGCTTTTTCGTTTCTGGGTCGACGTATTCTTTCGCCAGTCCAAAATCAATAATGTTAATTGTGTTCTGATTTTTAGTGCCATTTCTTCCGATTAAAAAATTTTCTGGTTTTACGTCCCGATAAATGAGATGCTTTGAGTGAACATACTCAACTCGAGTAATCTACAAAAAGAAGAATATTTTATACACTCGCAATATACCGTAAGGATCATCACTGTAGTGATTCAATAAACACTAAACAGTGGATAAATCAAACTCAACTCGAGTAATCTACAAAAAGAAGAATATTTTATACACTCGCAATATACCGTAAGGATCATCACTGTAGTGATTCAATAAACACTAAACAGTGGATAAATCAAAGTTACACAGAAACACTAAAAATAAATCTTTTACCATATATGGTAGCTTTAATTGTAACTTCAAAATAAGCAAAAATATGAGAATATTGGAGAAGCAAAAAAGGAAGGGTATAATGAAAAAATATGAATCATATGTGAAACAATACTTAGGCTCCTTTTATAAATTCCTGTTTCTAATTTAAATAACTGATTGATTTGATTATAAAAATGTGGGCGGGAAGGCCTAGTTAGTGATTAAAATTTTAAACTTATCAACTATGAAGGCATTTCAGGGTGATTCATCAGGGTTTAATATATTGTATTAGCAATGGCAAACAAGAAAAACCCTGTCCTTCCTTCTTTTTTTTTAAAGTGGTTTCTTGTGCAGAACCTTGTTCAGAGTTAAAGAAATATAAAATCGTTTTATAAAAAAAATATAGGAAAAAGGGGTTTCCAAATATAGCTCACGAATTTTGGATTTTGTTTTAAACCAAATACTGTTTTCCCAGTCACCGAAATAAGTAGGGATGCACAATCAATATTTTATCATACCACAGTGAACACAAAAAAAAAAAAAATATATATATGTCATTCAAGATTTTTCTGATTAAATCGCCTTGAAAGGAAAAATAAAAAATTATCTGAACCTTATCAGAAACACCCCAACTAAATTTAGTTACAGAATTTTTCTGAAAAGCCGGCATTGCCTATAATTATTGTCAGTGCGAGACAAGCGACACGTAGGAGAAAATCACTTCAAACAGACATTTAAATCAATGGTAACACAAGAACCACTTCCCATTCAGCGAGATAAAGTTAACGACAGGCATATTGGTTTACCCTGAGGCCTGATTAGCCTAATACTGATGTGATAATGTGGTGAAACATTGCACAATTATTAAAATAATGTGATCTGAGGGATTAAGCTGAAATAGAGTATTTCTTATTACACTTGAAATATTACTCCTAGAATTTTGAGAAACTTAATTGTAATCAATTTGTGAAAACTGTTTTTTTTCCCATTACTGGCAGCAACATAAAACAGCTATATTAAAATATGTTATCAAAATAGGCATCTATGCAAATTAAAATTTCAAATAATATAATTTCAAATATCGGTCAATGCAAAAGGTTCCATAAAACTTGTCACATACGATGATAAAGAACTTGTCTAGATTTTTTTCAAAAACAATCACAAATTATCAACATAAACTGCACATCTAAGAAACCTGTTATACACTGTTGTACTGTATAACCTTGAGCTTACTAGAATATGCAGAAAAAATTTTACTGGAAATATTAATATATTAATAAAAAGGCAGCAGGTAATGTTGACAATAACATTTTAATCTGGTTAGTTTAAAATAGTAAAAAATCAATAACCACTGTGTCAACAGCTGGTTAAAAGAAACATTACATAAGGTAATCTGGTTAATTGAAAATAAATACGGTTAATAAGGTTATTCATAGTTCCAGATTAACAAATCAGCAAACCCTGGTAGAACTGCATAAAAGAATATTACAGAGAGCATTTGGAATTTTTTTTATTTGATTGTCAGAAGGTAAAAAAATCAAATCTGATAATATGCCTCTATTCTCCTAGCAACATTCCATAAGGTACAACAACATGAAAGCTAAAATTATAAATAGTAAAAGCAATGTTGTACAAAAAAGGTACATATACCTCGAAAATATCGATACACAAATAAGTTCTTGTCCATCTAGCACTTTTTCAAAACCAGCATCCCGGTTAGAAAGTCGACAAAATGTATTTTTATTAAAATTAAAAACAAATGCTATTTGAAACAAGATTTCAGTAGTGAATTTTTTTTTTTTGTAAATTTGTCATTTATGTATCATGATTTCAATGTTGTTGTAGATTAGTTTTATTTAGAAATTAGAATATTAAAAATTGAATAGAAGATAGAATTCTGAAATAAACAACTATGCACATACGAATATTGCTAATTATTATTGGAGATGGTGGTATCATAATATTAAATTGGTAGATTGTCAGAAAATGGTTGCAATCAGCTCTTGGTTCAAAAATACCTTGATTAAATACAATCTTACAATACCATGAATCATTATAGTTTACTAAATTTATAAAAATGAAATAGTAACAAAAAGACAATTACCAATTGGATAGCTGTCATTAGAACGGTCTTTAGTGTGAAAGTACGATCACATAGATCAAATAAATCCTCCAGACTTGGGCCCAGTAATTCCAGCACCATAGCATTGTATTTTCCGCAGGGACCGAAGTAATACACCTGAGGCACTCCCTCTGTGTAAATACAATAATGATATATTTCAGTAATAGTGAAGCTTGTGGTTGTGCAATACATACATCCCGTTTACTAGCATTCATAACCGTAACTACATAATGGCAGGAAGTATAGTGAAGTTGAATATAAAAGAGAGGTCTTTCAGCGACTAATTAAATGATATAAAATGATAACATAGAACATTATGAAAATGTTGAAGTAATTTTACTAAAATTGTAAATAACAAAAAGAGAAGATTTACCTGCATTGCCGAGTTGCTTATAATAACGATATTCCAAGTGCAATTGTGGAGCTCTGGACTTCATTGGTTCCTGAAATACAAACACATTATATATCAAACAATTGCAACATGTCAATCTAAATATTTAAACAAATTGAACCAAAGCAATTAGTCCATGGTTGTCAAAAACACAATGTTACCAAAAAGACATAAAAACATAAATCTATGATATGCCTAACTAGTAACTAGTACTCCAATTTTATACAAATTGATATAAAACATTTTTAAATTTTGTACTATTAATCTTAGTGAGTTTATAAGCATATTGGTCAATATGAGAGCATTCATTGTACAGTCTATAACACCAGTCATGATGTGTTTCATGTTGATATAGGATGCCACCGGACAATGTTAGTCACCCGGTCTGAACAGGCACTGCTTCCTGGTGAAATTTAAATAAAAATGAGCCCGATCTTAAATTTGGGGAAACTCAAACAATGGAAACAAGTTCTCAAGAAGTATAAAAATATCTTAATGTATGTATCCTACATGTGTGAAGATATATTGTGTATTGGAAGAGAAATTTAGAACAAAACGAATCCAACTTGGACTGGACAGTCGAAAATTTAAAGCGTATCAGTTAAAGCATAACTTAAAACACAAATAAGGCAGGGTATAGCAGTTTAGCATCATACAAGTTGAAACTCTTGTTCCTTAGCGAATTGAACAATAATCAGAGTATTACTTGGCATGAAGTGGCACATGAACATTCATAAAAAGCAAGTATAGGTACACATATACCCTTGACAAACAAACAGTGTAATATTGTTGAAAGATAAAAAGATATACCAGTGTATGTGCAATAATAATTACTCATACTTGTCACTAACATTATTGAAATAGGAATTTTTTATATTCTTGCCTAGAAACCATCTATTTCAACTCATGAAAATTGTTTATCAATTGCCCATTTATTCTACGGTGAAACGTTACATGAAAGACTGTTCACGTAAAGGAAGTGTCGGTTGGATAGTTGTGAATCAAACTCAAAAGAGTTACAAGTGTAATTTGAACTCCGTAACAAAACACATAGCTTCCCACATGTCTACCAGCCATAGCTTCTTAATAAGACATGGCTTACAATAATATAATAGTATTTAATGAGACTTAGCTAAAAAAGCATTATTATCATTTCTCAATCATTTAGAAAATTACCCACATTTTATAATACACTTTTTACAGATATTTTGTATATAAGCCTGTATATTTAATAAAACAGTTTAAACAGTTATTAATAAACCATAATTCAAGAACAATACCCCCTTACTTATAACTAGAAATATTTCTTAAAAAGTGTATTTTATAAGGTGAAGTTGGTATGTATTTTCATGTGTACCAAATTATTTTGATTAAATCACCACAATGCATACTTATAGCTAGATATTAAAAAAGACCATAAAAGGTAATATTACGAAGTCAAAGGTGACGTACATTCATTTGATATTTTGACATCACCGGCCACCGCCATTTAGTTTGGTTCCTATGATGTATTGATGAATAACCATGGTGTATATCACACCATTGATGTAATTAGAACAATTAATAAAGTCACAGCGTCCTAAACATCAGATATGCCTATCCTATGTGGTAATCATAGTTTGTTCTTCACCAGATGAAATAAAAAGTCTAGTAAATTTTACTGAAGCGTGGATAATAGTCATACAGGTTTGGTATATATTGTAAAACAGCTAGCAGTGTCATGCTGGATTTTAACAAATGGCACAGCTTGTTCATAATTGGCTGGCTAACCCTAACGCTCATTGATGAAAATTCAGAAAAAAATTTAGTATTTCAAGTGGAACTAGCCAATTCCAAGATGTCCAGCTCCAATATAGCCTTTTGAGGGTGATACACGTTTCATTGAAAATAAAGTATATTTTTGATAGAGTCATGTAACTTGTGATCAAGAGTGAATCAAGTTGGAATAGTTTGAAATATAAAGGTCACTTCACTCAATTATTCAGATAGGAAAATATATACTACAGCAATAATCCATATGTGTGGCCCCAGGCCTAGTACTGACTTTTTATTTAGGCAATAAATAAAAATATCACACTGTAGCCGCAACGAGTATTGATATTCACACAAGCATGCATATCTGCAAATCAAAATACTGCAGACAGAATTAACGGAACAGAAATTTTAAACAAAGCTTTAGAAAAGGACATTGTATTGTGAGAAACTGTTAACATCGATTTAAAAATAATTTAATTATTTCAACTTACCAATTTAATGGCAACATGTTCATTGTTGTATAAATTTTTTCCTGCAAAATAAAAAAAACATGGATGGTAAATATAAGCTTAATGCAAATATTAAAATAAACTAGGGTTAAAATCATTAATTATGGGAATTTCATTTAAGGCAGATATAATATGATTTGAAAAGCACTGACTGACAAGAAATAAAAGAAAGTTCAGTGATCTATATAAGAACTATGCTGCGTAGAAAGTCTGTATCTAGAAAAGCAGCATAATTTGTTCAGTTTAAAACATTGTTTTAATTATTAACATTTAGATGATTAAATAAGGAAAATATTTGTTTTGAAGTTCAAAACTACCTATGGTATGAAAATACAGGCTCAAAAAGTTTTTAAGAATATAATCCCCATAAAGAATACACACTTTTTTGTTTCTTATAAAATAACAAAATTAGATTACCTAATCGTAATTCGCCAAAATTTCCACAGCCAATTTTCTTGCCTACTCTAAAGTTAGGTCCAACCATGAGCATTCCAGAATTAGGAGTACTTCGTCTATCGCTTCGACTTCCTTCATGTCTGCCATGATTTCTTGGTGGTCCAGAAGTCCTGCCTGGTTGCCTATGATCTTTATCATTACGATCGCTTTGTCTTCCCTGCATATTATCTGATGAAAATCTCTGGTATTGTTGTTTAGGATGCTGGGATGACACTGTAAACGCTGCACCCCCAGCAGCCTTGCCTCTTTCAGCAAGGGGGCTGTATGTGGGGAGTGGCACGATGGAATTACTTCTGGAGAAAATTACTTTATCTTGTGTTATTAATCCAACTAAGAGCCAGGTAACAGCATAGATAGAACGGAAAGGAATAAGATAGAAAGAGACTAATATTTAGTAAAACATTTCAAGTAAACAAACACTTATATCTGTAAATGAAAAAAGTAGAAGGGATTAAATTTCTACACAAAGAACAGTAGGCTTCTATATTTATATACAACCCAATAAAAAATTTGACTATTGTCGAAAAAACTCAATTGCTAATTGCCAAAAACTATTAAAAACTAGAATCTATTGCCAAATTAGCCACCTGTAATACAAGAATCCTTACATCTTAAAAACAAATTCTATGACAATTTAAATTTGCGAGGTAAATTCATATCACAATTCAAATTATGACCAACCAAGATAAGGAAAATAGATTGTACCAATTACTGAACTCTATTTACTTCAGAAAACATTCTAATATAATTTGATTTAATATATTTGGCATTTTGTACAAACTCGAAAAAAGCTGAATGTTTTAATTACCTTAATATGATTGAAACACACATGGCCAATAACAAACGACACTACTTGTCCAGAGATGAATTAAATTTAGCCTTCAGGAATATTATTATATTTTACTTCAAAATTTTATGAAATTGAAATTTTACAATTTACAAAATGCTTATTTGGAATATTTTACCCTGGCAGGTTAAATCTACATTTCATTTTTTTTTTCACAATTGCAAAATTCATAAAGAAGTGATGTGATAGTGTCTAACATAGCAACCAATTGTCTACATCTATATCGGGAATTTCTCGTATGAAGTGTACAGCACGTCATTTCAGATTTAATATAATCAATAGCAGTATCAATAAGATTAGTTCTATTGATGTCACCTAATAAAAGGCACCCAAAGTCCCTATGATAACATCATAAATACTAGGACATATTATTTAATAAAATGCCCTAGGCAAAATTCAACTGGTAATAGGACTGGATACTAAATGATATACCGGTATTCGGTAATCTTTTTTCAACAGACCATAAAATTCAATATAATACATGGATATAAACTAACAAATACTGTAACTTGTTGGTACAGCTTAGTAATAGATATATCTATAAATTTAAAAAATGCTCCCACTTGAAATATACAAATGAGTAGACTAGACTAGAGACATTTTTATCAAAAAATAAGGTTTTGATTACCTAATAACTCAATATGCAAATTGTTTCAATAGCAATTATTCTAAATTTTGGCTAACTTTTTATTTGAGTAAAATTTATTTAAAGGTTTTTTATGTATATATAATAAAATACCTACAAAAATATAACATTAAATGATGGTTCAGGACATAAATTTGCATAGACTTGTTTCAGGCCTGGCCTGATTAGAAATATTAAAACTACTTATGCTAAACATGAACATGATCTTTGATACAGCATGTCATGTTATACCACATCCATAAACAAGAACTTCTAAACAACATACCTACCTCACCCAAAATATTATCGAATGATTTAGAGTCAGAAAAAACTCCTTAACAATCATATCTAATTTGATAAAACAAAGTCAATAATAACAAAGCACAATGGAACTAAACTGAGAACAGCTCTGTTCAACTACCTTTTGCCTTCGATCATATTTGTTCAATAGCTTATTAAAGATCCAATCTCACTTGATGGTATCAAACTAAATACTACTTGAAAAAATTTAATACATAGTTTTTTTATTCATATTTCAAGATACCACCCCAGTAAACATAAATCAAAAAGAATGGGGAATACAATAATTATGAGAACTTTCCCAAATCAAGAGAATTATTTTTTAAGCCAAATGCTACAATGTAATAAATACTGAATTGAAATATCATATGGTAGGGTATCTGTAATTAGGATTGTTCAGCAACCAACAATCTATTAATCTATAGAGAGCAGTCCATGCAACACAAGACCTCTAGAATTTTATAAGTATAAGGAGTCAACCTTGAATAAAACACCAAACAATAATTTAATGTAACACAAAATGTAAATAGTGCACTGAAGTACTCATTTCAGAAGCAACTCTAGATCTCATTATAGGTTTGTTTGAGTCGTAGTTGCAACTTTCTATTGTTGAATGTAACAATTTTTATTTATCAAATATATTCATAATAAACGGCAGGAGCTATATTTATCAATTTATCTTGAAGCACCTGCAACATCAGGTTCATCTATTTTCACTCTATATTTTTTTTCCAACATTTACTAATAACAGAGACCTTATATTTGTATACACAGATACAAGGGATGACTGACAAAAAATCAAATAGTAAGATTAGGCAGTGGCTTTCAATTGAGTACGGTTTGGAGACAAATGAGGCATGATCATCAACAACATGACCTAACAAGGGGAGAAATTAAAACAAACAAAAAAACAATTTCTTATATTTTCGTAATATATATCATAATATGCAGATTTATTATTAATAATTCAAAGAAATAATCTTGTTGCAAGGAAGAAATAATGGGGATGTCAGACATATCTAATCATAACAAAGCAGATATATGGCCGACTTTAAAATGGGCTAAAATCAAGTTTATAAAAAAAAGAAATCACTTTTCATTTCAAGCATCTGAGAGGATGATCAAGTTTAAAAATGTCGCTATGTGAACTTCAAAGGTATTGGTCAACTAGCTCTTCCGCAAAGAAAACAAATGATTGATTAATCATAAAACATGCAATTATTCGATTATTTGAAATATTCGATTAGGTTTCGTTTCAAGTTTCTTGAGTACAACAGCAATATTATTTAATTCAAGCATTTTGTTATGAATGAGCACACACAATTTTAGTTTGAAGCTTCATCATAAGTTTCCAATTATGTCAGTGTAACTAATGCAGTATTAAAAATTAATTGCAGAAATATGCCAGTAAGGCAAACTTCCAAGATTGCAAGACTCACTCACTTCCAAAATTGAAACACACACAACACATCACATCTTTGAAACAACGGTGCCGTCCAAATTAGGGGTCTCGTGTAGTTTCGTACCTAGCGTACTTCTAGTAGGCGTAGCATAACAATTTTTTGACATGCCAATCCTAACCCTCACCTGACTAGGCCATCCAAAAATTACGTCACTACGACGTCACAATCACGTCATAGAGCTTGCCAAATACTCGTACGATCGCCCGAAATAGCATCGGCGCCGACGATAAAGGACTGACGTCAGCGACCTCTCTCCTATCGGGATCGTTGCGACGAGAAAACGAGAGAAATGACTGTTCGATTTCGGGTTCTCGTCTGCGCGTCTTGGATGACAGTTCGCATAGTTTGAAGGGCTCTATTACGTCACTGTGACGTCGTAGTGACGTAATTTTTGGATGGTGTGGTCAGGTGGGGGTTAGGATTGATATGTAAAAAAATTGTCATGTTACGCCCACTAGAAGTATGTTAGGTAAGAAACTACATGAGACCCCAAATTAGTAAGACTTTTTTTTTATGCATATGTTGGTCTGGTATAGTTTAGTACCACAAGTGCTTCAGGTGAGAGTCACATAACCATTTTTGCAAATGTTATCCGTAACCCCCTCTTGACTACGTCATATGAAAATTAGGTCACTGAAACGTCACAATCATGTCATAGAGCTTGCCAAAGTGTAGCTAAGATTGCCCGTAATCTCAATCTCAATAACCCCAACGATCTCCTTTACATCGGGAACGTTTAGGTAAGAAAACGAGAGATAGTATGACTTTGTACACGAAGTAGCTTGCCAATTTCGGGTGAACATCTACACGTTTTAAATGGTGGTTCATATATTTTGGCAGCCCTATTGCGTCACTATAACGTTGTAGTGACATATTTTTTGAATGGCGTAGTCAGATGGGGGTTAGGATTGACATATTCAAAAATTGCTATCATCTGCCCACTAGAATAAGGGTGGCTTACCCACTTTGCGGCCACGACTTATTTGCGGCCATCAACTTCATCGATCTAATTAATGCCGAAAAAATTAACGAACCACGACGATATTTCTTATTTGCGTCATCCAAAAATAATGTCGCTACAACGTCACAGTGACATAAAAAGGCCCTTCAAACTATACAAACTGTTAGCCAAGGCGCGCAGATGATCGCCCAAAATCAAGCAAGCTGTCTCTCTTGTTTCCTCTCTGGCATTATTATCAAATTTCAATTCTTTATATTCAAAAGAATCCATGTCTTCATGTTTACACATAACAGAAAGACTGTAAGAAATTCATGAATTCAAGTAGACTAGGCGGCTACTGGGCTAAGCCTACCAGAAATTGTCCATTTTTTTTTTTGGCAAATAGAATTCCAGTGCCAAAATGCAGAAATGGAATTTATTATTTTTGTCTAGATGAAAGCGAATCAAAAAATTTTATAAGTCAGTACCGTAAGTTCCTGTACCTCAATTAAAGTACATTTTACATTGCAATTACTGAAATTATTCATGAAGCTCAGTACTAGACCCATCTTCCCATGCAAATTCTTTTACTTTCGTACTGTTGCTTCTTTTGAGGCAAAGTAATCATAGTCTACGATAGTGATACCGGTACCTGTACATCATACCAACCCATAGACTGACAGGCCCAAGATTACGGTACCGGCACCGGTACGTACTTGAAGATTTGGTGACCGGTGGGTGCCGCAGGTATTAGCCAAATGTGTGTGGGTGACATGGCTGCAAAGTAGCTACAACCGCATGTTGGTCTGCCAGTAGACAAGCAAAAAAATCTTATTAAACTAAATCAGTAAATACTACAGTAGTAACAAGGCTCCACCTGTAACCAAGTAACAGGAACGGTCGAGTGTCGAAACGACAGCGGCCGACACATTCTCCACAAAAGTCAATGTTCGCAGGACGACACCCCTTGTAGGAGTCAAAACCGCTTCTCTCCGGCTACTAAAGTGGCTATGTCCACCATGTGCTCACTAAAATGGATACGCCCGCTATGCCGCTACTAGACTGGCTACGTCCCTACTAAAATAGCGGTGTCCGCTTTGTCCATACTAAAAAGGCAGGCTATGTCGGCTATATACACCTACAAAAATGACTATGTCCTTAATGAAATGAGCATGTCCGCTATGCCATCATTCAAAAATTATTGTCGAATGCTTGCGTTGATCTTGAGGGTGAAGATTTAAAGCAGGAGTGTGCAAC